ATAAGAGAGGGGGAAGGGTAAGGGTGGCATTTCAATTTTGGCAAATTGGGGCCTCTCGTTTTTTATGTCTCTAAGTTTGAGCGTAAGGATTTTGTTTGAGCAAAATGGAAAGTGGAGATCTCAGGGCTATCACCACACTCCCAATACGCAGTTGCACACAAATTCCAGGCTCCAGCAACCCCCACATGATAACGTCGTCCTTTGCTTCCAGCTGGCACTTAAAACCCACTGTAGAGGTAAAACTATTTCCTGCTCAGGACACTGGTAAATAAAAATGCGTATGGTTTAATTTTGAATTTAATTTGTATGGGGTGGAGTCCTTGGAAATTAGACTTGCAACTTTGGTGTTTATACCGATTTTAGTTTAGTCGTCGTCTACGGTTGGGGTTAGAGAGGGGAGGTATCTGAATAAGAGGATATCCTGAGATCATGGAAGAATGGTCAATAAAGGCTTAAAAAGAATTTATAGTCACTACCTATACAAACAACGTGCACTTTCCTTTTCGTTAACTCGAACTCGTGTTAGTTTGTAGGAATAGTGGTTGCAGGGGATTGTCGAGGCATAATTATCTTCATTGGATGAGGTGTTTTTGGTGAAACTAAAAGCAAAGCTTAACATCTAATCTACACTAGTTTATTATATTTTGGTTGGATAGAATTGTTTGTATCATTGAATTTTGGTCTCATTGGTGGTAAGTTAGTGTTTTATTTTAGTATTTTTAGATTTTGAATAAATTAATATTGGTTTTGATGTTTGTTTTTTTAATTTATAAATTCAACTATGTAAGGGGGAAGATTTGAATATTTGACTGAGAAGAGACCAGTTATGAGTTATGCTCAAATTGACATTTATTTTAGTGATTGAATTAAATGATATATATACACACACAATAGCGCTTGTGTCCAATAAATTGCAAATATAGTAATAATGTATTATGGATTAGCAAATATAGTAAAAAAGAAGTAAATATTAAAATAGTCTTGAAATAAGACTGTAATTTCTCTCTCGTAATGTGTCAACTCTGCATGTCATCAATAATAGATATCTTCGTTAATAGACACTATAATAGACATTTATTAACGAAGACATATTAGTAATATATAAGGTATTACTTCAACATCTATTAGTAATATACAAAGTATTGCTTGAAAAAGAAAAAAACATATATATATATATGTATATATCAATCATATTTTCAAAATCATAGCCCTATTGTTATATTTATAAATGTGGCAATTTTTACTGTCCATTATTATTTTTTAATTTATTAGTATTATTTACTTATTTGAACTATAAATTTATTTTTTTTTGCCAAAATAAGCCTCTTTGATTGAAAACCCAAACCTTCTTTTGGAATTTGCTTCTTCCTGCCCATACGTATGTGGACCCCAATGGTCTTTTCACCATAGGATCTCCTTAATGGACAGTACCTCTTCTGAAGAACAAAATGTGGACCATTTGATAAATAAAGAATAAATTGGTCCAACCCAAGTAAATACCTGATACAGCTTCGAGCCTTAGTATTGTAAAGTAAATAAAGTTTCATCAGAGAAGAGAAAGTGATCCATAGTATATAAATTTCTATTTGGTATGAAACTTTTGAGTGAAATTAAAAGTAAAGCTGAGAGGCTTTTATATTTGTTCGACAGATAGTTAAATCTATCTCTCGTTGTGGCTTGCTGTAATCATTGATTTCTATTCTGGAAGGAAGAAAGTGTTAAAAGAAAACGGTATCTCAATATTTCACAATCGTATGAGATATTGGGATAGCCCTCACGATTTATTATAAATATAGCCCTCACGGTTTTGCTTTTAGTTCCACTCAAAATATCTCATGATTTTTTGTCGTTCCACTCAAAATGTTTCATAATGAGGATAATTGTCCTCTCTTATTTTTGAGCCGTGAGACTTTGTTTGCATTACTTCCCTTACAAATCCAACGTAAAGCAATCAACTGAAACAGGGGAAATTTCAAACTCATTCTCCTTTGATTTCTTTTGTGCATTTTATTTGTTTGCTCAATAAGCTAGCGGATTGTTCAACAAAGAGAGCAATTTCCGAGGGTTCTTTTTTTAGCTGTTCAACAGCTTCCCTCCCTAGCTTAGGACCGTTGTCGATGGAGATTCATCTCTAGGAGCTCACATGGCATCCACATTTCTTATTAATGCATTACTCTTGATTACAGGGAAAAAAAGTATAGTAATATAATAAATCAAAGTTTTGTAGAATTAATGATTTTAAAAAAGAGATTTAAATATAATCGATTTTTCAAAATCACTATCAAAGTAATAACTTAAAAATCAATTTAAAATGATCGTAGGATTTCTTAGAATCTTAATTAATTTGCCAAACATGATCAATGGAAAGGGAAATAATTTTGACAATAGTAAAAGTGATTTTGGTCATGTCAAAATCACTCCTAAACACACCCGAAATGTCTTGAAACGAAACTTTTTCCTAGTTGAATATGGTTTTAGTACTAACTTAGTTTAACCCAATTGGTTAAGATATATATTTCTGATCAAAATGTTGTATATTCGAACTTCACTGCTACTTAGAAAATAAAAAAGAAATTATGGCTTTGGTGTTTTCAAGTATATATTTCAAATTTATATTTTTACTATCAAATTGATACGTTATCATATGTTTAACCTTGAAATATATCAAGTAATCTATATATATCTAGCTCGTAATTTTTAGAAAATATTTAAAAATATCATATACACTATCCATGTTCCCATCTTTACAAATTTTATCATTTGTTTCTGATATAAGTGGGGCTAAACACTTGATTCATTTAAAATTATCCTGTAAATTAATTTGCTCGTACTCCTTACAAATTCAAGAGTCTCTTTCATTTTGTCAACAAAGAGTGCCCTCTTAAAATAAAAAATACAGACCATTCATTCAATAATATACACACCGGAGATGTAAAAAGTCTGACTCCTCAGTCCTCAACAAGGAAGATATTTATTGAATTTGTTTAGTTGTTACTGAATTTATTTATATTACATCTAATAGAAAAGAAAAATTGTTTGAAATATGCAAAGGGGAACTCGAACTACCATTGCAATTACTGCTAGTCACTAACCGGTACGGTTACGAAGAATCCGTCTGTTTGGCAAAAGAAGATATCAGAAATACGCAAAACGGAACCACTAAGAAAGCTCCAATCTTCAGCAAATCTTCGCTCTCTTTAGTTATTGCTCCAATTCTAGACCAGTCTCCACTGTACCTGATCAAATTAATTCCAATCCGTCCTTCAAGTTCAATTCAAAAAAACAAAAAAGATCGACGAAGAAGACAAATTAACTTAATTTTTGTACCCTGCATCGACGAACCCTAATCCGAGAACCGAAACGACAAATCGAGCGACAAGTGGATTTGGAACTCTCAGCGACGGAAACTCGAATTGATTTTCTTGATTCGATTTAGTGGCGGTGGAATCGTCGGTTCGTTTTGCCAATGCGGTTCGAAAATTTCTGCGATTGTTGACGTTGAAAAGGGAGCGAGATACGGCGGAAGGACCGGAGAAGATAAAGGTGGAATCTGCCATATTTTCTGTCGCTCTTTCCTTATCTTTTGCTTCGCCAGCGTCCACTATGGAAAATCAGAAATAAATTATCGCCAAAATTAATTACAGCCACATCCTTTATTTTTTATATAAATATTTTTTTTGCAAAGGACACGTCATTTATCATGATATATAAATATACATACATATATATAAGCTACATTCCTCTATCTATAGTGACTATATTGAGGGGTAAAAAAATAAATTAAAATCTGATAGAATAGAACCAACTCAACTCAAACTTTTTTTTTTTTTTGAGTTGGATTTATAACTTAAGAAAAAGGTCTTTTGAATTGGAATCTACAATTTTAAGTTAGGTCCAAGATAAGATAAAACTCAATCAAACTCTCGAACACCCGACATCTACTAGATTTTTTCTATTAACATTACTAGTTTAGCATATGCACCACTGGATATCTCTAGATGCTTTAAACCTATCCAAAATCAGCTCATCATGTAATTAGTGTACCATGAAAACAATAAACTGAGGGAGTTAACGAAACATTGACGTATTAGACATAGTTAGGAAGTTCAATCACTTATTATAAATTTTTTAAAGTAAAATAACTAGATAAATATACATTACATTTAAATTTTAAGAACCTATTAAACACTTGTTCTAATTATAAAATTTGTGATTTTGACCTTAGCTAAACATTAAAAGAACGAGTTAATTTTAGTTTTATATTTTAAGAAATCGTATTTGTTTATAAATGCATTTCTTATTTTCAAAAAAAAAAAAGAATGATGATAAAGAATAATAGTAATAAATAAAATTTAAAGAAAGTAAACCAACTTTATTTACTTTTATTCATGACCTAGAGCAGTAGAGCTGCTTGGTTCCTTATAGAAATGCATGTTTCTTTAACAAATAATGAGGTTTGCTCTTTATTGCCTTGTCTCTCCTTAATGGGAAATGAGAGAAACATTCTCATATGCCACTCCCTCTTCACTATAAAAATATTTAATTTATGGTGCAAGCTTGAAATTTGATCAAATATATTAAGAATAATGAAAAAAAGAAGAAGTTATTTTCTTATACCCATACCCTATTAAATGCAACGTAACATGGCCTCCAAATTCGTATTAATGTCGCACAATAGTATATATGATAAAAATTAAATCATACAATATATATGTTACCACAAATCTATCAGGCAAATTGGTCTTTTTAGAATCAGAATTGTGGTATCTCAACATGAGTTTACTTTAGATATAATTTATAGATGTCAAATGATTAAGGTGGTGATTGGCCATGATGTACGTCTGCAAAAGTACACGACACACAACTCAAAGTAGTGGCGAGGGAGGAGTTGGGCGGTTCCGCTCATTCCGATCATCAGATCTTCAATAGCCTGGTTAGTAAGACTAACTTCTAATGACACGTAGCATGACGTTATGCGTCCTCCAACAATATATATATTAACTCGTGATAGTTCGTTTATATTTCTTTCGGGATTGGAAGGACGACGGATTTCTCACGCTCACGTATTTGCTTAATTAAAGAAACATGTACACTAGAACTCTCAAATACCAACTTGAGCATAAAATGAGTAGTATTTTGCCTCTGCTTCAATGATATCAATGTATTATCTCTTAATTAACAAGTTCAAATTGTAAAAAAAAAAATGTTAATGGTAAAGATAAGATATTTGAACTTATTTAGCTTATTTCAAATCTTCTTCTTGGTCTTTTGAGTACACACATTTCCAATCTAAGAAAGTCGTCACTTCTTCACGACTCATAATTAGTCTCATTCCCACTTGGATGTTTTCGTGTGGCGTAAAACAACAAATATCAAAAATAAGAAAGGGGAAATAAAAGGAATACATTTATTTTATGAAAAAAACTTCACAACTTGCATCAATATTTACTTCTAACTTTTAGTTTCATCAAATTTGGACCCTGCACTTATAAAATTAGACCCTAAACTTGTATAAATGTGGCAATATTGAATTTTTTTGATAATTCATATAGTAATTTAAAAAAATGTAAAAGAATTCAATAAGTCATTAAATTAATGAAAATCAAACTTTGCATAAAATTAAATGTGATAAAAAAATAGAATATTTAACTAACTTTGGAAAAACTTACAAATTTTAACCTAAAGTGATCGCTTTCTTCATTTAAAATACATTTTTTTTTCGTAATTTATTGGACACGTGTGATAATACTTGTTTCAACATAATTCAAATGAAAATTTATCAAAAAGGTAAAAATTAAAACACTTGTAAAAGTTTGAGGTGAAAAATACAACACTTATCCAAGTTTAAATTGCGATTTGATGAAAATTCAGGGTAAAAATTTACACATTTCTATAGTTCATGATAAAATTTAATTTGAAAACATAAGCATAAATCGGTGGTAAATGACATTTTCTCTTTTCCTTGAAGTCGAAAGGAAAACCCAAGTACTGCGATAGTACATGCTCCTATTTACCCTATAAATTTTCTTTCATAAATAATTTTTTAATATTACTGCATCCCATATCATTACGATATAATATAAAGGAAAGTAGTACATATTATTGTAGTATAAGAGAATTTTTATGGCTTTGGAGGTTTGAAACCCGGTGCCCCACATTTTTTGTACTAAAAGAATAAATGTGAATATTTTTCAAATATGTATATATGTTGGTTAAACTATATAAAATATCATTGATGCTTCAATTACCCTTATTATTTCAAAAGTTCCTATCTGCCCTCAACTTTTAAAGTTGTTTTAAAAAAAACTCTTTTGTGTTAAAAATACAATAGAAATGTGACGAGGCAGTGAGTTGCTAAAAAATTATCTTTTTAATCACATTCAAAATAGTGCCAATGGCAAAAAAAGAAAAAAAAAAGATTGATGGGTGGAGAAAAACAATTTTTATCTTTAGAGGTAAGAAATTAATTATCAATATATATTTTAACTGTTTTTAAAAAGTTAAAAAATTGAAAATACATATTAAAAAGAAAAAAATTTATGTAAAGTAAAGATGACAATATATGGATATAAGTAAGGATTTTCTCTCCCATTCTCATGTTCGTTAAAATTTTTAATCCTCGTCTTCACCTCGTTCTTCAATTTGAGATGTTCTCGAGAAAAATTATCGATTTTATAATTGTTTTTATTATTTTTAGAATTTAAAAAATAAAAAAGAATAATAAATATATATTAATTATTTGAAAAATAGAATCGAGGACGGGATCAAACATGCATTTCTTATTTTCGGAACTCGACCCTATTGAAAATTTTGTCAGAGACATGAGAGGTAAATAAACTTATGACTTTATTTTTAATGTGATTGATATCCTTTGATTTTTTTTACAGCTCACCACCATTTATCTCCATTTTAATGGAAAAGCTAACAAAAAATTGGTTTAAATAATTAAAAAAAGTATTTTTTTAATACAATTAAAAAAAAGTTTAAAGTGAGACTTTTAAATTACGAGAGTATAGTCGAAACTTAACCTATGAGCATAATTGAAATCACATATTTTTAGATGTAACTTTGTTTTTTTTCTTTTTTTGACAATTCATCGTCCAATTCATGTCACACTGCCTCACATTTTCATTTTAACAGAAAAGTTGCATAAATGACATTTTTTTAATAATTTTAAGAATCAATTTTTGAAAGAATGAAGCAGAATTGCAAATTTGCAACCTATAGAGTATACCTATCATTTTTTTTTTTATTATTTTTTTTTACTACTAGAGTATACCTACCATAAACTTCAAAATAGTATTAAAAAAAAAACTTCAAAATACTGATGTAATATAACAGTTTTTTTTCCCCTCAGAAAAAAGAAATCGATAAATCCAAAAAGAAAAAAAGAAAAAAAAAAAGCGCTTTACTTTATCCGCTCAGCGGTTCGTGTCTGAGGCAGAGATTGGCAGGAAGAGGAAGAAGAAGCAGAAGAAAGACGAGGCGCTTCGAAGCTTCAGTTATGGCGTCTGCTTCGACGACAGTGTCCTTTGGCCTTAGATTTTCCCCATTGTGCTCTCGCCCATCGGTTCGCGTCTCTCATGGTTCCGTCCGGCTCGCTTCGTCGTTCAACAAGGTGAACTCCTTGAGGCTTGGTTCTTCCCCCAACATTTCCGGGTTCGGAGTCGCTCTCCTTCAGAAGTCATTTCATATTGCTCCCACCTCTCAAGTGCATACTCCTCTCACTGTTGTCGCTGCTAAAGGCTATAAAATGAAAACCCACAAGGTCTCTCGCTGTTTCTCTCCTCCGTATGCTATGAAATCTTTTTGTGTGGTTCAATTCTGGTTGGATTATGATGAAATTTGAAGTTAATTTCAGTCTTCTCGATCGTTTGATTATGTTTAGTTGCATTTTTCAATCGAATTGCTGCAAGTTTCGACAATTGCAAATTGAATTTAAGATACCCTTAAAAGTACCCAATTATAGACGCCTAATGAAAGGGTTACTATTATTTCTATATCTTAAGCATTCTGCTGGCCTTCTGGAATTTTCTTATATTTGCTTCTGATTTAATTGTTTGGTGTTACTGGATAGGCTTCGGCCAAGCGATTCAGAGTGACGGGTCGCGGGAAGATCGTTCGGAGGAGAGCTGGAAAGCAGCATTTGCTGTACAAGAAGAATACAAAGAGGAAATTACGGCTTTCCAAAATGGTATGTCCTCTTTGATTCTTTTTGTATTTGTGATTATGTATCTGTATGCTGCATTTCAAAACTTGGACCCTTGAATTTGTTTGGGAGAAGTATTATATAAATGGATCGAAGTTTAGCCAATGCAGCCACTGTTTCCAATCAGTATAATTCCTCGACAAGTGATCTATCAATCGTGGATGCTAGTTATCAACCGAGTTTTAGAAAGAATCCTTACGAAATTTGAAAATTTCCTTTATCTCTTGGTTTAATCCTAATCATATTGTAAACTAATGACATGCATTCAACCTCAATCAAGTTCGTTCTGGAAGCATGATCTAATGTGGAACTATTCATCGGTTGTCATAGTTGGTTTAATTCATAATCCCCAGTGCTGTCAGTGTTGGTGATCTTGAGGATTGTTACAGAGACCGTTTAGGAAAGAAGCGTTGTGTTGTTTTGATACTCTTAAGTCTTAAGTGCCCAAGAGATATATCCATGAAACTCTTAAGTACAAAACACGTCGTAGGAAAGATCTTCAGCATTCCTTTGGTTTTGAATCTTCAGAATTTAGTACACATGGTACTCTGCTGACACTTCCCCGGTTGATTTCTTGTAGTGATTGCTGACTTTTCAGATGTTTATGAGACCATCAAAATGCAGTTCTTTTTGTTCTTTTTGTTCCTTTTGTTTAAATTTGGTTTCCATCAAGATTGTTACTTCCTTCATTAAGTCTTCTGATTTTATTTTTGTCTTTTTCTTGGTGAAATTTCAAACCTTGCCTTGTGTGCACATCAACAATATTCATGCACAAGATTCTTGTGGTTATGGACAGAGCCTTATATAAGGTGATCTGACAGTCCCTCCATCAGTTGATGATAACAAATGAAGGTGAAAATGTGATAAGAAAATGCTTGTAGTGTTGAATGTAACCTTCGTAGAAGAAAATCTGTTGTCAATGAAGTAAACCATCAAGCCTCCAGGGACAGTCCGGTTGGCAAGGACTTTGGCATCTCTTAGTCATAYTGGCCTAGAGATGTCAAGTTTAAACCTTCTGGTAAACTTAATATCAAAAGTCCCTGTCCCTCTTTTGAGGCTTTTGTAATTTCATACATCAATGAAATTGTTTCTTTCACTAAAAAATAAAAATATCAAAAGTTCCTGATGTCTCTAAAGTTCTGGCCTTGTGGCAGGTGCGGATGCCTCTGGGTATAGGGGATCAAAACTCCAACTCCCAGTTATTAAAAAAAATTATAAATAAAGAAGTAAATGGCTCGTTTGATAACATTTCCGTTTCTTGTTTCTCGTTTCTAATTTTCTTAATAAATCTAAGTATTTTACCACTAACTTTGTTTCTTGTTTCTTCTTTTTTGGAAACATTCTCACAATTGTATAGAAATTTTAGGAACAATCAAAACAAGTTTCTCTTTTCTTGTTCCCATTTCTAATTTTTTCCAAAACATGAATAAAAATATTGTTTTATCATACTTGAATTCTTGGAGGTTGAAACCATACAACACACTTTTCTTCATTAAAAATAAAGAAACAGAAACGAGAAACAGAAACGTTACCAAACGAGCCCAAAGTAAACCAATCCAGTTTCATAATACCAAAATTCTGGGTTTTGACCTTGTTGTGGAAGGCAATTTGGTAGTTCTCATGCAATCTTAATGCTGTTCTCATGCAATCTTAATGCTGTCTGGTTGTGTTTCTGAGCTTGCTTTCGTTTTGTTTTTATGTCTTAACACAGCACCCAGTGAGCCGAAGTGACTATGATAATGTGATTGGTGCTTTGCCATACCTGAAGGTGAATAGGCAGGCCAAATAGAAGCAAAGGCAACCCACCCTATTAGGAGGCTGTATTTACATTTCTTTTGTAACCAAATGATTTTCAGTACCCAAAACTCATCAAAGGGCAAAGTTTGATTGCTTTTACAGAATTATTTGCCTGATTTATTCCATCAGTTAGTTCCTTCTTTAAATTGTCTTCCCCTCTATTTGCTAACTTGGCAGGCTACCCAATGGAGATGTGTTTAACCAATAATAATACAGACAAAGGTGCTTTATTATAAAATAGGTTTAAATACTGATTTGGTCATTGGACTTTTGTTCACTTTAGTATATATACATTTTTGTCCCTATACTTCTGATTTTTGTTTTTTAGTATCTGTACTTTCAAAACGTTCGTGTAGATCCCTATATTTATAAGGGAAAAAAACGACTATTTTGGTCCCTTCATTTTTTTTTATCTCATTTCTTTCCATCATAATTTGTTGTATATAGCTATGAGTTTGGTTTTTTCTTAGTACATATAACAATGATTTTATAATCAAAAGTTTTCATTTTATAATGAAATTTGTGTCCAAATTTTGCTTAAAGGGACCTAAAACATATGTTTTACAAATATAAGGGTTAAAGTGAAAAAAAAAAATGAAAGTTTCAGGAGCAAGTGAATGTTTTGAAAGTATATACTAAAAAATAAATCATAATCACTGCTTCTAGATCGGGACAGATAAGCAAGGCTGGCCAAGCTTGAGCATATTTATTTTAGGTTAAAATTGTGACTATGAGGCTTAAAATTGTGACTATGAGGCATCACTTTCCTTATTGTGGTCGAGTCAAGCTTATTTCGTTTTTGAGTATGTTCCACGACATTCTTATTTTGAAAATAATTATTGATGGTGTCTTCAACATATAACTGACGCATGAAATAGCTATAAATGAGGCTACATTGACCGAATAATGAAATATCCTTTTAAACTAATCTAATAAATTTACTGTACTAAAAAAATTAATAAAATTTGTTCGAGTGTAGTTCTGGATGAACTATAAAATTTTATACTAAAATCTACAACAAAATTAAGTGTTCAAATTTTTCGATAAAATACATGAAGTTAAAACTAAAACACTTTTAATATATAAAAATAATCTGACTTTTTTCTTTTTAATTTCTTTTAGAGTACAATATATAGGATGTGATTTCGAACTCACTACTTTTTTATTGGATATAAATGCCTTAACCTGTTTGAGTTAGGTTTAGTTTGACATGTGGCGGATATTTGTAACGTTTTTGAAGCATAAAGTATTTAATATGTTCTGGAAAAAAGTATTAAATATGTAGGAGATGGTGCAACCTTACCTTATATCTTATTGTTTTTTTCTTATGTATTCATTTTTATATTATTATTTTACTTTCTTTTTTCTAACTACATTTTCAAATTTATCATTCTTCACCTATCTAAATGGAGGATTCCATCTTTATAGTCGAAAAGACTATTCACAATAAGTTTTTTAAATTATAAGAGAAAATTTTCTATTTTATCTATTTCTAATTTAGCATTTTCTTTGGGTAAGAAGTTTCGTAAACCTACATCATTTATTTATTTGTAAAAGTTTATATACTTTTAACTGTGAGGATTCATTTTTCCATTTTTTTTTGGAGTCTAAGGTTCCGTCAAATAAATTTTAAAATTCATTGATTATTGAATTTTCGCAAATAACTGAGATAGATATTGTTGAATTAGAAAATCGTTAAACTCCATGAATGTCGGCTCGGATGGGATGATCTAGACAGTAAGCTTAGAATGTCACGTAGAAGACCTACAAAACAGAGTCAGCACTCTAATGCCAAAGTTAATGAAAGTCTGAACTAAATCGATAGAGAATCGAAATGTTCACGTACCTCTAAATGAACGGAATTGTTCTATTTACAGGCGAAGACCCCGACAGCGTTTCCAACAAGACATCAACGGCTCTTTAAGGTTACCGTGAAACGCTGCGTGTTATCGTGGAGTGTGTCGGACGTGTGACCGAGCTGAGGTAAGCTGATCGGTTCAACCAATGACATGAGAACACGATTATGAGCAAGCTTGTTCGGCTCGACCACTGAAAGGATTCGACTCAGTGAGACGGATGAGCCGAAAAGTGCACACTTGGACATTTTCTTGTGGTATCTATAAGTCACATGTCACATTTTGCATCCACTCATCTCACGTCATGTGTATGCTCAAATCTTCCTCCAACACATATTTTAAAATTCTAGAAAGTAAAAAAGAATAAAAATAAGATGTCAAAAAAAAAAAGTTTAGAAATGTCCAAAAGTATAAAATAAAGGATAAAATGGTTTTTAATAATGATTGGAATCCAGTTGATTCATACCTAACAGAACTCTCCGCTCGTCTGCCACGTTTACTTTAAAAACCATCCACTCGTCGCCGCCGCCATCGCCGCCGCCGTCATCTTTTGTTTACGCAATCCCTACGTGTCAGCCATCGAGCGGATATTGAATTTACAACTCTACCCCCACCTTCCCGCCAATCTCCGCCCCTATACGACAGTACTATTTCAGTAATTTCACTTCTGCTTGGCTCGATCAAGACCCAGGTACGTGGGAGTTCCAATGCGGCACGTGTTGAAACCAGCGGGTCTTCTTCGCCGCCAAGCACCGATGAGGACTTCCGCTCTTTCCTTTATTTATTCTAGGGTTCATAAATTTCTCCTCCTTAGATTTCTCCTCCTCCTTTCTGTCGAAGCGTCGTCTCATTGCGTATTCGTAGCTAAGAATTTCAATGGTTGTGAATTCTAACATGGCGTTGTGCCCCGAAAAATCGGCGGTGAAGCGGGATTGTGATGATTCTTTTGAAGAAGGGCACGGTCGCTTGGACAAGCGATTCAAGCCGGATTTTCATCAGGTATTTGATCCGTTATGATTCTATTTAGTTGCCTGGAGCGAATAAGAAATTGTTCGTGGCCGTTGTTTTCAAATTATTGATTTAGCGAACCGACTTTTTAATTTTAGCTTGCCATTTCCAACTCATGCAACCATTTAACCATTTTTAGGTCGTAATCAGACTACTTGAGTTGAATGTATATGAGGTTATTAGTATTGGCTATTTTTGTATTCGGTTTATTTGGATTTGGATGAGAAGTGAATAGTTACATAGTCTGAGGCGGCTTCTCGCTTCCACTTTTATTGGAAAATTTTTAGTTCCTTCATTGTATTATCACTGTGAAATGTTGATTGAGTAAGCGAGAACGAAATATTTGATGGTACTTTCTGAAGTAGAAGTTGTTTAATGAAATTGATTTGTTTTGAACTTTGACTGAGTTTATGGGATAGTTAATTAGTATTAGTGTTGCCTATGAATTAGCAGTCAATTTCGGGACCTGACTCATTACCTGCAACTTATTTGCAGAACAATCCATTTGATGAACCTAGTCCTCTGGGTTTGACGCTAAGGAAGAGCCCGTCCCTGTTGGATCTAATTCAAATGAAACTCTCACATGGGAGTGCGTCCACAGCTGGAGCTTCAAACAGTGAAAATTTTGACTTTCTGGTTAAAAAAGAAATCAAGGACGCTACCATGCCGGGTACCACTGAGAAACTAAAGGCTTCAAACTTCCCAGCTTCACTTTTAAAGATTGGACGTTGGGAGGTCTTTATTAAAATATTAGATACTTGTGTCCTACTATTACTGGGCTTGTAAAGCATGTGTCAACTGACTCGTTTTATGATGGCAGTACAAATCAAGGTATGAAGGTGATTTAGTGGCAAAGTGTTACTATGCTAAGCATAAGCTTGTCTGGGAAATCCTCGAGGGTGGACTCAAAAGTAAAATAGAAATACAATGGTCAGATATTATGGCTTTAAAAGCAAATTGTCCTGATGATGGACCTGGTACACTAAATGTTGTGGTATTGACTCCATCATTATTTATGGACATCAGTTTATGGAATTACTGCTACTTTGGGTTAATGATTTACATACATATTGGTGTGCTTGGTTAATGCAGCTGTCTAGATGGCCTCTTTTCTTCAGGGAGACCAACCCTCAACCAAGGAAGCACACTTTGTGGCAGGCAACAGCTGACTTTACGGATGGTGAGGCCAGCATGCGGAGGTAAATCTTCAATTTCTCACTTAATTTTCTTCAGCGTTGGGATCAAGGATGATGGTTGGGTTTTCAGGTTTAGAATTTATAATGCTGGATAATACTGTACTGAAAACTGAAAAGTAGTTGATGTTTCTTATTTATTTTTATTTGAAGGTACATTCATATCTGTCTTCACGTGCCTATTTTTGAATTTGAATTACTTGCCCATTGTGGTTGACTTGGATTTACTGTTTTGGAATTTTCTTTTGGACTATTTTCTCACCTCGTAAAAGACAGTGATGCCCAAAACTTTTTTGGTCCATGTTGTGCTAGCACATGTACGACCAATTCTCCTTAGATCTATACAAACTTTTATGTTAGCCATGAGATTTTTCTGCATTACTTTTTGATATGGATATGTGAAATTTTCATATTTGAAGACTATTAGTGTTACATCTCAATTGCTCGGTCATGTTACATTGAAGTGTTTTTCCCCCTTGTGCTAAGAAAATTTACCTAATTTCATTCTTTACCCTATTATTCGATGGATAAAATATGCATGAGAAGAATATTTTGTAATTACTCGAGCATACCTTCACCTTAAGAAGATAGCTAGGTGTGGTCATTCTCACACCTGTCCTGTAATTTTGCTAGAACTGATATGAACATTATATTTATGTAAATTTGACCTGTGTGTTCAGGCAGCATTTTCTGCAATGTCCACAAGGGCTGCTAAACAAGCATTTTGAAAAGCTCATCCAATGTGACTCGCACCTTAACTTCTTAAGCCAACAGCCGGAAATTGTGTTAGGTTCTCCATATTTTGAACCAAAAGCCTCTGTTTTTACTACCTTGGAGCAAGCCAGCAACCATGGTTTGGAGCGAGCAGAGTCTGTAATTCGACTTCCTACTTTCCAGGGTGTTGCTTCACCATCTGTTGCATCATCATTGAAGATAGAACAGACTTCTCCCCAGATGGTGCTCGAACCGTGCACCTTGGAGGTTCCTTCCCCTAGTTCAGGTACGATGGGCTAGTGAGTTGTTTTACACATTAAACGTGATCATCTTCATTACCTAACTGCCATCTATTTTATGGTAGAGGCAGAATATGATGAAGCCAAAGTTAATATATGCTGCTTCTTCTCTCCCTTTCTGTGTTTTCTACGCGATGGTGAAATTGGAGTTGTGCTGGGTATATTGGTGTTATAGCATGCTTGATGCTTTTAAATTGTTGGAGTTATTAGTCATATATATGGGTGCTGGGTATATTGGTGTTATAGCATGCTGGATGCTTTTAAATTGTCAGGCTACCCACGACATGTCGATAAAATTATCCTTGAATTTTCAAAAGCATGTTCATGACCATACCATCCTAGACCTCTGTATTTGGTAAAATTAACTAGAATTCAAGAATATTACATTTGCAGTTTCCATTYTTACTGAAGCTTCTTTGGAGTATCCTCCAGATTTTCATAATTTCTTTGTTCCTTTTCATTTACAATCCCCTATTTTTGAAAGTAAATTGATGCTAGTTTGAGAATGTGTTTTGGAAGATTATGAAACCATATTTCTGTTCTATGTAGCTTGCTTCCCAAGGTTATCCTTTGATTGATCTCACCCATTACCTTTCTTGTGTTAGTGATGGATACACATGAGATTGAAGAGAATAGAAGTACGAAAGTTACCTGCGAGCCAAGAAACTGGGAACAGATTAAGGTTCCAGGGCTCCATCCATCTATGTCGATGAGTGACCTCGTAAACCATATCGGACATCATATTACAGAACAAATGGCTTCCACAAATTTGCCGTTTGTTGATGGTGGTTCGGAATATCAAAACATGCTGGATGAAATTGCGCTTTACTTGCTCAACGACAATCAATCATCAGCAGCTTCTGATGAGGTAAAACTTATKTCGAGAGTCGATTCTCTCTGTTGCCTTTTGAAAGAACCTGCTGCAGTTCAAAGTTTTCAAACCAGTAGCAAAAGCTGTGTCGGAGGACCCGACCACAAAGAAGATGTTCAGCTTAAGAATGCTGCGGAGTTGAGGGATGACAAAAATATGGGAGGCCATATCAAGGTTCATCTTCACCCTGAGGAGGAAACAAAGGATGTCTCYGTAAGCAAACAAACACCAGCAGCTATATCAAGGAAAGATTCATTTGGGGATTTGCTGTTGCATCTTCCTCGAATTATGTCGCTCCCGAAGTTCTTGTTTAACATTTCAGATGGTGATGAAGGTCAAGATTAATTAGTTCAAGCTAATTTTAAGGTTCTTGCATCTTCTTGCTTGGAAAGTATGGGGATTCTGGAAACACAATCTCTACGTGTAAAATTTCTCTTATTAGGTTCATAGGCCACAGTTGACCACAAAACGCTTACATTGTACACAGAATGGGTTTGATTATACAGTAAAGGTCGAATGATAGCTCCTATTTTAACCTGTTGGTGCTCTCTGGACAATAATTTACAGAGAGCCTCGTCTGAATTCAAAATTACATGCAACTTAAAACTGACTTAAAATTACAAATGATATATTGATTACTTCTCCTAAGAAGTTCTTATGTCTCGCGCTCTCTCGTGATTCAATACTAGTAATAATCAATGTTATTATTCAAACTCATTCTTTTACAAGCTAAGATTTTCACAATGTGCCAAAATCAGATTGCATTCTGAGAAGTACGAACTTAACATATCCAAATACTTCCGAACGCTTCTTCAAGTGCACGCTTCCTGCTGAACTCTACGCTCCACCCGCCAGCCCTTCCACCTCGCTCCGCTCTGAGCCTCAACATTTCCTCATCGTCAAGCCCATAGCCCTGCATGTCAGGACCACCACCCAGAGGCACAGGTTGGCCTGTGGGTCGTGGCTGCCCTCCAGCAAATGTAGGTGCGTATTGACCTTGTGCACCTGTGGCTATTCCTGCTTGAAAACTTTGGTCCGCACCCTGCAACGACAATTAATTTAAAATTATACGAACAGTTCGGTCCTTCTGTCCCAAGTCTTTCTCAAAGAAACATCAAGTGTCATGTTATAATCTTCTGTTAACTTTTTATCTCTTTGGATGCCAAATACAAGAGTTCACGACTCAAAGGATTGGGTCTGGGGAAGTGTTACTTATAAAAGCATATTGACACCAACTACCTTGGATTAATGATGCAAAAAATTGAGCTTGATTAACCATGGTAAGTCAGATGATACTTTACAATATTTCGACTAGAATGGATTCAGAAGACAATGCAAAATTCTTCATTTTATGGGGAAGCATTATTAAAAATGCTGTTGAGCAATGGAAAAATGGATAAGAACAATGACAGAAAAAGTATGAGCAATTATAATGAGGAAAAACGTGCTCACCCCATCATTATCTGCTTGTGCAGGAATTCCCTTGCTTGCTGCAAGGGCTGCAGCATATTCTTCAGCCTATCAAGTAGTTTAACAAGTGTCATTAAACTTTCAGTGAACTGTTAACCATAACTAAGGAGTTCAAGGGGCAGTTATGTCTGAAGCAAAAATAAAAATAGTGTTTAAGCGCCAAAATTCCCAATTTGGGGCTAAAGGATAAGAAATTAACAGTTTATACATTAGGAGGAATACTCCAGGTACCTTGCGAGCTCGGTTGATCATTATTTGTTCAGCATTTTCTTCTTGATACCTAGCAATTTTTGCTTCGATGGCTTGAACATCTATGCCTTCAATCAAGTTAAAAGCTGCAAAATAAAGTTTTCTAATCAACTTTTTATTCTAGCTAAAGAAATTCAGTAACAATACYAAAAGGACGTACTCATGTCCTCCACTTCTTCCAGATAATCATTGTACTCTCTCAGGGATGAGAAATCATCTTCTCTCTTGTTGAATCTATAAAATAGGAATACCAACAACACTACAGACGTTTAATAAATTTTCAAGTAGAACACCAAGATCAATAAGCAACTCAATAAGCAAACTCACTAATCCAAGAGCGAAAAGCAACTCAATAATCTCAGAACAAGAAGCAATTCAATGACATGTACACGATAAAAATAATCAATTCAATCATTAATTAAAACTTTTATCCAATGAATCAACAGTAGGAGAATATCTATCTTTTTCCCACTCACATTAGATGGAGGTTTGAGCCCTTAAAATAGGACTTTTTGTTCGCCAGAAAACCAATGTAATTATTGAAAACTAAATGCCTATTGGTTCCTTTTACTTCACTCTGTAGAAGCATCTGAAGACGTGTAAACCTTTGCAACCCCCAACTTCAGACACACACTTCATTCATAGATGACAATTGTATGATAATGGCAGTAACATGTTGCTACAGTATGCACACATGGTTTTAAAAAACGTKAAGAGTGGGAAGGACAAGTGAGAGAAACAGAGTCTTACATGCTAGCAATCCTCTTCCGGATAGCGATTTCCTTACTATGAGGATTACTACTGGAGAATACCATTATTGTTGCTTTTCAGCTTTTTTTCTCTTTCCCTTTCTATAATTCACTCGCTTGTAAGGTCAAACCTGCAAAAAAGACCAACAAATTGATGTGGCTTTCAAGACACTAAACCCAAATGTGTAATACTGGCATTGTGCACAAATGGTTTTCGAGAAATACTGAAGATTGATATTCTTTCATGCGCAGATTCTAAAGCACATCCACCAGATGAGACCGGTACAATATTGCAGAGAAAGAGATGCCCATGGTATATTATGATCTTTAAACAACTGATAGACAGGCAAGTATGTTTGGCAGTTTGGAAATGAACTAAACTACCGTGTCTCCAAGTAACTTGAGGTATTTCGACCCTCCCCTACTCCAGAATAAAACATACAAACTAATTACCTAATTTCATCCTTTCTCCCTCACTTTATTTACCACCAAACTCTCTATCCTAATTACTAATATAACCTTACTACTGTAATAATATCCCCAACCTATCCTAATGGTAATCCTATCATAATCTCATCCGAGAACTGATTCATTACGTAAACAGGATAGGACGGAATGGGAGCAAGAGCTAGAGGTCTATAATAGCTGGTCGACCGGGATTAAATGGGTCCAAGATTTTGTTTAGTGTAGTCTGTGTATGAAGATTTCGCCACACCATGAGTCTCGCATTATCTTCCTCGATGTTTACATTACACGATCATTAACAAATTACAAATGCGAAGTATGTGAAAAATTGACAGTTAAATAGATTTCGGAGAAAAATCATAAGTGTACACTCAAAAGAGAAACATCTGCAACACAAATACAAGCATAAAACAGCTCCGAGTACATTCAATGCGTATGTTCCAAATGTTGCAAAGCGAAGGAAACAGAGAAACTGCCTAGTTCACAATCCGACTCAAACAATACAACAGAATCTAGCTTAGGTATCTAAAAAGATTTGAATACCTGAAGAGCAGTGAAGGTTTTAGATCCTCAGCAATGGAGCTAGGCCCTGGAACGAGCGCTGATTCTGCGAAGAAGAAAGGCGCGGAGTGAGAGACAGCCATTGAAGACATCGGAACAGGGATCGGAAACCGGAAGAAAAAGCGGACTGGGCCTTGAGTAACATTATAGGAATAGCATACTCCTGATCATCGGATCGATTTTTTCCGGTTTCGCGTAAACCGGATGATTTCGGTTCAACCGGAGCGATGCGTCTGCATGTATGTCTTGGTAACAACTTTATAAAAATTACGCTCTATCGTTTATGAATTTCTCTTTCGAGTAAATTTCTTACGAATTCAAATATTCGTATTTTATCTATTATTTCATTTGGATCTGAATCTCTTATCAGTACATCGTATTCTGGAATTTTTTTTTAAATTTAAAACACAAAAAAATATAAAACAATAATAAAGAATATTGGATTTTACCTTATTTTTGAAGATTGACAACTTGATCTTTCTTGGAATCGAATAAGAGAGTTGAGAGGTTTCAAACTTTAGGTTTTTCATCTTTCTAGGTTCAGCCTAGCCTATTATTATATTTATATAGAGAGAAAATCTAACCCTATTAGAATATCTTATATTTTGAATATAAAATATCTTCCCCTCAGAAAATTCAAAATCTAACGATATAATCTTTTGAATATAGGATAATAAATAAATTAATTAAATAAATTAATAATTAATTATTTAACCTTTAATTCAATATCACATATTTAATTAAAACTATATATTTGAATCATAATCGAATGTATTCCACTTGTATAACCTATAATTTTAATATGAATCCATTAATTATTTGAATCCTATTAAAATATTTCTCTCCTAATATATAGTTTAATTATTATTGAATATTTATTAAAAAAATAAAATATATATAATGTATTATAATATATTTTGAAATATATAAAATTTAAAATTCTTATACACAATTTAGAAATGGAGTATAACATAAATTATACATAATTGAAATAACATGACATTATAGTTAAATCACACCACTTACGTATTAATTGATCAAATACTATAATTTGACAACAATTTCCTGTAAACAAAAATAATTGCATGGTATCAACTATAAAAGACACTAATTATTTTTCTTGTGACATTATATATGTATTATAGCATAATTTAAAGAATAAATAGATAATAAATATTAAATAGTGAAGAAAAATTCGTTAACTTAAAGATCCGTTTCATTTGGTTTTTAGTTTTAAAAAATAAGGTTGTTTATAATCCATACAATTTTCTGTCCGTTGTATTTCAAAAATTATTTTAAAATTTTATGTAAATTCCAAAAAAAAATAATTTTCAATTTATGTTTTCCATTCTTTCTTCTAATACTCGATTCTTTTTGTCTTTTTCATATTTATCTCTAAAAAATTTATTTATTTCTCTGAAGTTTTTTTATTTTTAAATTTCTGTCTACAAATATTTTAAATATTTATTATTATTTATCTTTCTCCAAAATTTTCATTATTTTTATTTTTTTTCTAACGGATCAATTTAACTTATTTCTTTAAAAATTTAATATTTTTCCTAACATTTTTCACTATAGAATTTCGTCTTCTCGTAATCTATATTTTTCTATGAAAATTATATCTTATTTTTTCGTTTAATTTTCTTTCACGGTAATTTTTATTTATCTATGTATTTATTTATTTTCTCTAAAAATTATATTTGAATATGATTTTCATCTCTAAATTTGTTCCATTATAATTTTTCTCTTTCTTTATAATTTATTTATTGTTTCTTTAACATATATTTTCCTCCCACTTTACTTTTTTTTTTCTCTTTTTGTCCTTAACTTTCTTTTCACTATTTTTTTAAAAATATTTTTATTTATCTCTCTAAAATTTATGTTACAAAAGTCTATTTACATTTTTCTAAACTTGTATTTTCATGTCTAGGAGATACAAAAATTTCCGCAGGGTGAGGCCCAAAAATAAGAAATGCATGTCCCGACCTCATGCCCGTTCCCGATTCTATTTTTTAAATTATTAATATATATTTATTACACTTTTTTTATACTTCAATTCTAAAAATAATTAAAAACAATTATAAAATCAATAGTTTTTGTGGAGAAGGTCTCTCGAATCGAAGAACGAGGTGGAACGGGGACTGAAAATTTTAGCATGAGGGGAGAGCATCTTCACTCGCAGTCACACCATTGTCATCCCTACTCTACATAGAATTTTCCTTTTCTAATATGTATTTTTAATTTTTTAACTTTTTAAAAACAGAAAACTAAAAATGGTTACCGGTTTTCTGTTTTTTAAAACAAAAAACAAAAGATAGTTATTAAATTTTTGTTTTTTAAAAATATAAAACCAAACACCAAAAATTAAAAAAAGAAAAATCACGAACAAAAAACAAAGATGGTTATTAAACAACTTATTTTTGAAGCCTAATTCAAGAATGATTGTTGGATTGGTTTGGTCGGCCTTTTGTAATTCATAGAGCCTTCTTCATTCTCCACGTATGCTGACACAGATTGAGGTGGGAAAATGACAATTCTTTGATCGTTTAGTTTCCTCCACTGCTTCAATCTCCATTATCTCGACGATCTCCAGAGCTTCGGTAAATATCATTCTCATTCTCATAAACCCTCGTTTCAGAATACTGTTAGGTTTGCCTTTCTCCCGATTTCACTATGCATTGGACTACACTGTGACTTCTGATGTTAATATTGTTCATCCATGGCCTCCCTGAAAATTTCCTTCCCTTTGGACTCTTTCGATTCTAAGAAGTTCGATTTTCCGGTCAAATCGGCTCTGCTGTCCGATATCTGCTCTGTTTTCTCCATCACTGGTTATATTCATCTCAATAAGTCCTGCATACTCTACTCCCTGGCTAGGGTTCACAAGCCCTCTAAGGTTTCTCAGGTTGAACCAGAGGCGTCGGACATTTACCAATCGAAATTTGTTGATGATGAAATTGGCGCCAGGAAGAAGTATGTCGGAAATAAGAAGCCATCGAAGCGGGCGCCAGGTTCGTATTTTAGTTTCAGTAGGAATTGTAGTGAGAAGGTTTTCGACAATATTATTTTTAACGGTGGCGAAATGGATGTCAATTACTCCACTATTTCGTCCGATTTGAGCTTAGAGGATTGCAATGCTATTTTGAGAAAGCTAGAGAAGTGTAATGATGGTAAAACACTGGTTTTCTTTGAATGGATGAGAAGAAATGGGAAATTAGAACACAATGTGACTGCCTATAATCTGGTTCTTCGAGTGTTGGGTAGGCAAGAGGATTGGGATGCTGCGGAGAAGCTAATTAGACAAGTTAGAGCTGATTTGGGTTCTCAGTTGGACTTTCAGATTTTTAACACTCTTATTTATGCTTGTTATAAATCGGGGCTCGTGGACCGGGGTGCTAAATGGTTCCGAATGATGTTGGAGTGCCGAGTACAGCCCAATGTTGCAACCTTTGGGATGCTTATGGGTCTCTGTCAGAAGGGCTGTAACGTTGAGGAGGCAGAGTTTGCCTTTAGTCAGATGAGGAGCTTCGGAATCGTCTGTGAAGCGATGTATGCATCTATGATTACTATATACGCGCGGTTGAGTTTGTATGATAAAGCAGAAGAGGTGATTCAACTAATGCAAGAAGATAAAGTAACACCCAATTTGGAGAATTGGCGTTGTGCCCCGAAAAATCGGTGGTGAAGCAGGAGTGTGATGATTCTTTTGAAGAAGGGCACGGTCGATTGGACAAGCGGTTCAAGCCGGATTTTCATTAGGTATTCGATCTGTTGTGATTCTATTTGGTTTCCTGCAATGAAAAATAAATTGTTCGTGGCCGTTGTTTTCATATTATTAATTTAGCGAACCGACTTTTTAATTTTAGCTTGCCATTTCCAGTTCATGCAACCATTTAACCATTTTAGGTCGTAATCAGACTACTTGAGTTGAATGTATATGAGGTTATTAGTAGTAGCTATTTTTGTATTCAGTTTATTTGTATTTGGATTTGGATGAGAAGTGAATAGTTACATAGTCCGAGGAGGCTTCCCGCTTCCACTTCTACTGGAAAATTTTTAGCTCCTCCATTGTATTATCACTGTGAAATGTTGATTGAGTAAGCAAGAACGAAATATTTGATGGTACTTTCTGAAGTAGAAGTTGTTTAATGAAATTGATTTGTTTTGAACTTTGACTGAGTTTATGGGATAGTAAATTAGTAATTATCGATTTTGGGACCTGACTCATTACCTGCAACTTATCTGCAGAACAATCCGTTTGATGAACCCAGTCCTCTTGGTTTGACGCTAAGGAAGAACCCGTCCCTGTTGGATCTAGTTCAAATGAAACTCTCACAGGGGAGTGCGTCCACAGCTGGAGCTTCAAACAGTGCAACTCTTGACTTTCTGGTTAAAAAAGAAATCAAGGATGCTACCATGCCAGGTACCGCTGAGAAACTAAAGGCTTCAAACTTCCCAGCTTCACTTTTAAAGATTGGACGTTGGGAGGTCTTTATTAAAATATTAGATACTTGTGTCCTATTCTTTGGCTTGTAAAGCATGTGTCAACTGACTCATTTTATGATGGCAGTACAAATCAAGGTACGAAAGGTGATTCAGTGGCAAAGTGTTACTATGCTAAGCATAAGCTTGTCTGGGAAATCCTTGAGGGTGGACTCAAAAGTAAAATAGAAATACAATGGTCAGATATCATGGCTTTAAAAGCAAATTGTCCTGATGATGGACCTGGTACACTAAATGTTGTGGTATTGACTCCATCATTATTATGGACATCAGTTTATGGAATTTCCCTTACTGCTACTTTGTGTTAATGATTTACTTACATGTTGGTGTGCTTGGTTAATGCAGATGTCTAGACGGCCTCTTTTCTTTATGGAGACCAACCCTCAACCAAGGAAGCACACTTTGTGGCAGGCAACAGCTGACTTTACGGATGGTAAGGTCAGCATGCATAGGTAAATCTTCAATTTCTCACTTTATTTTCTTCAGCGTTGGGATCCAAATTGTTAGGAAGCACTTCACTGTTTATAGTCTTAATATGATAAGGATGATGGTTGAGTTTGCAGGTTTAGAATTCATAATGCCGGATAATATCTGTACTGAAAGTGAAAATTTAGAAGTAGTTGTTTCTTATTTATCTTTATTTGAAGGTACATTCACATGTGTCTTCACGTTCCTAAATTTTGAATTTGAATTATTGCCCATTGTGGTTGACTTGGATGTACAGTTTTGGAATTTTCTTTTGGACTTTTTTCTCACCTCGTCAAAGACAGTGATGCCCAAACGTTTCTTGGTCTTTTCGTGTTGTGCTAGCTCATGTATGACCAATTCTCCTTAAATCTATACAAATTTTTATGTTAGCTATGAAGATTTTTCTGCATTACTCTTTGATATGGATATGTGAAATTTTCATGTGTGAAGACTGTTGCATCATAATTGCTTGGTCATGTTACATTGAAATGTTTTTTTCCTTCTTGATAAGAAAATTTACCTAATTTTATTCTCGAGCCTATTATTCAATGGATAAAATATGCATGAGAAGAATATTTTGTAATTTCTCCGGCATACCTTCACCTTAAGAGGATAGCTTGGTGTGTTCATTCTCACACCTGTCCTGTAATTTAGCTAGAACTGATATGTACATAATATTTATGTAAATTTGACCTGTGTGTTCAGGCAGCATTTTCTGCAATGTCCACAAAGGCTGCTAAACAAGCATTTTGAAAAGCTCGTCCAATGTGACTCGCACCTTAACTTCTTAAGCCAACAGCCGGAAATTGTGTTAGGCTCTCCATATTTTGAACCAAAAGCCTCTGTTTTTACTACGTTGGAGCAAGCCAGCATCCGTGGTTTGGAGCGAGCAGAGTCTGTACTTCGACTTCCTACTTTCCAGGGTCTTGCTTCACCATCTGTTGCATCATCATTGAAGATAGAACAGGCTTCTCCCTAGATGGTGTTCGAACCGTGCACCTTGGAGGTTCTTTCCCCCAGTTCAGGTACGATGGGCTAGCAAGTTGTTTTACACATGAAAAGTGATCAGCTTCATTAACTAGCTGCCATATATTTTATGGTAGAGGCAGAATATGATGAAGCCAAAGTTAATATATGCTTCTTCTTCTCTCCTTTTCTCTCTTTTCTATGCGATGGTGAAATTCGAGTTATTAGTCATATATATGGGTGCTGGGTATATTGTTATAGCATGCTGGATGCTTTCAAATTGTCAGGCTACCCACGACATGTCGATAAAATTATCCTTGAATTTTCAAAAGCATGTTCATGACCATACCATCCTAGACCTCTGTATTTGGT